ATTAAATAATAAATGGAAAATAAACCTGTTTTCCTCCTATCATATTGAAGTTTGACTTTTTCATCTTTCATGGCTGCAAGGATAAAACGTTAAAAAAGCACCCAAGGGTGTGACTTTAGTAGTGTAGGAAGTGGGGGAGAATATTGAGACCAGTTCAAATCTCATCGCATAGCCGTGATATGCAGAATTACCGGTACATATGCTAGTGGGGTTTAGCAGGTACCCAATGAATGAAATAGTCGAGTTGCGGGGAAGCTGGCCCAAACACCACCATCATATCATATGTAAAATGGGTAAAGTGCTAAACAATTCAAGACACTAAGATGACTTTATACATATCCAATCTTATGCAAATAAAGGTTCCAGCTCAGCAGGGTGTATTGTATACAACGAGAAATTTAGTGTTAATTTTCTAAATGACTGGAAAATAGTTAATGTTCCATACTCTTCTAGCTTGAGAACTCCTGTTATATTTACAATTAATTCAGACACATACTTCCTGCCATATGTATAATAATAAATTCAAACACTCCTGTGTATTTCATAACATGAAAAAGTACATAAAAAGGATCAAATGATGAGTAGATTATACTTCTTAAGCTCATAGAGGAGCACTTGGAGAAGTGACAAATCTCTAAGCAAGATTAACAATGCCCATGAATAACTAAAACACTTCAGATGAATCAGAATACCAGCAATGGGGATCAAATGACAAGTCCCTGCTCTCTAGCCTTCTTAAGCCACTTCAAAGTACTCTCCAATGTTGTGTACGCAGCAACATCAGTCAAACTCTTGCTCTCTATTGCATAATCAAAAACGTCATAAGCTTCTGCTACTCTGCCATTCCGACAGAGTGCTCTGAGAAAAGTTCCATAAGATCCTGTTTCAAGCTTCGTACTATTCTGCTTCATAACATCATACAGTTTCATTCCCTTATCCAACAATCTTCCCTTACATAACCCATGAAGCAATGTATTATATGTACACGAATTAGGAGCACAGCCCCGTGCTTCCATTTTCTCCAACAAAGCCACTGCCCCTAATGGATCTGCTTCTCTACACATCCCATTCATTAACGAAGTATACGTCACTGCATCTGGAACATGGCCTTCCTCCATCATAACATTCAAAAACTTCTTAGCATCTTTAACCCTTCCCGACTTAGACAATCCATATATCAATGTATTATATGTCACAAGGTCAGGCTTTACTCCTTCCTCCTGCATTTTCTTGTATACACCTAACACTTCGCCCCCTTGACTTAACATACAATAACCCTTCATGATTGTATTATAAACATAGCAATCTGGCTTGTAGCCTTCCTCACTCAAAACCCCCAACAATCGAGTCGCCTCCCTAAGATTTTTACTATTACAAACATTGTCAATCATAATTGTATATGTAACAAGATCAGGTTTTATATCAAAACCCTCCCTCATTTCTTTAATAAAGTTATTCATAGTACTCAAAGGCCTGTTCTTGCATAAATGCCTAACAATAAAATTATAAGTATACGTATCAGGCGGAGAGTCTTTGGATGAAAGCTCTTTCACCAGCTCAATGGCTTGCTCTTCGTGGCCCGAAGAGCAAAGGGTCCTCACAGCAATGTCTGTGGAGACCTTATTAGGAGGGAAACCATTGGTAGTCATAAGATTAAGAACCTGATGAACAGGGGATAAAGAAAGGTCAACAGACTTACAAGATTGGATGAGGAGAACATGGTATGTAAACCTGTCAGGGGAGAAAGGAGGATGAACCTTGATCATGTGATTAAGGAAAAATATTGAATCTTGGAGAGTTGAATTGGAGGAAAATGATTGAAGAACTGCATTATAAAATTTATTGTCTGAAGTGGGGTTTCTTGAATTGGAAATTAGAGAATTGAAAAGGGTTTTAGCATCTGAAAGAGATGTTGAATCAAATGCTAAAATAGATGATGGAAGTTGGGGTTCAGTATTTGATGAGGGTTTTTTCTTGGGTGATTGTGATTTTTTGGGATAATAATGGGGTTTTGAGGTTAGAGGTGGAGATGGAGATGGAGTTTTGATGAGAGTGTTTACAGCAAAGTTAGCTGACCTTAAGGAAGGTGGTAGTTTCCCCATTTTCTCAGCTGCTTCTTCGTCTTCTTGTTACTCAAACTCTAACAGTTCCTCCTTCTGTGTACACTAAATTAGGGTTCTGCAAGGGTTTATCATTTCGATCTCTGTCATGCCAAAGAAGAAGAAATGCTGAGTACAGATACGGGTCATTTTGGCCCATATAGGCCCATTGGATTGCAAAAGGCCCATTTTCTTTTTTAACAAGAATACCCCCGGCCCACTGGGCCTTAGGGGGATTGAAACTCAAAGCCCAAAATAAATAGTACAACAGATCACACATGGATCAATTAGAATTGATTAGTAGTAGTAGTAGAGAGAGAAACTACTTTTGTCAACAAAAAATGATTTTGAATTGGGAAGCATGTTAGTGGCTAACTGGCTATATACGCACCAAGTGGAAACTGAAGAAATAACTTAATTAGCGGCTCATTCTTTAAATTAAAGAGAGTCGTCAAATGTATAATATATGTTAATTCATATATAATAATGTATAATTTATATACATCGACTAGAAAAAGTAAACAATGAATTCAACAACCTATTTGTGTAAAGATCCCTTGGAAATATACATATTATTAGTAATTTTTTTCACACTACAAGTTCATCTTTATAAAAACGGTCTTTTGAAAATGCTTATTTTCTCAAATAAAAATAAACTCTCGTTCGTCCTTTCTTTGTGGAATTAATCATGATCTTGACCATTTATTGTCTATTTTCCTTTAATAAGTTCCGTTACTGTAGTCTAAATTTTAATTAGAGTTCAAGTTCTATGTATCAGTCGCTAATAATTCAAAAGATAAATTTAAATTTACTCTATCTAATAAGCATTGATTGATTTTTTATTATTATAAAAGAAATGCATAGTAAATAATATGTTAAATTCCTCTGATAATATAACTTTCTTTTATCATATAATATTTTCGATGACATATTTCTCACCAATCATCACCAAGATAAGAAACACAAAGCAGTGAAACATTATTTGACAATATAACTTGTAGTAGTAGTTTATTTTACTGCCCAAAAGGCGTTTGTTTAGCACAATCCAAATTGACGCCAGGATTGACTCCAAGAATTTGGCAATATCTCTTGTAAAACCCAATTCTATTCTCCATATTTTGATTAGAACCTTTTCCACATTCTATTCCCCCATTAATGATGTTGGTTATTAAACCATAGCCAGAGACACGACCAGCAGACAAATCAGCTCCTGTTGGTCTCCATTTACCAGTAATAACATAATGGGCCGATGGCTTTGGTCGTTGGGCTGTCATCCAGAACCACAAGGCTGTCTTAAATGAAACTACTGGATCATTTGCAACAGCATCTGGATTTCTTAACAAATCAACTCCTATGGCTTTTCCTGCTGGTCCATAGTTGTAGTTGCTGCATATCACAGAATTGATAGTTGAGTTGATTATTTACAGAGGCGGATTCAGGATCTCAGATCTATAGTTTCAATCTTTAAAGATTTATTGAACTTATTATATAATTTTAAAATTATCATGAGTTTAGACCTACTATTTGTGTGGGAAGTACTAGGTTCAGATAAATCATTGTCGTGACTTGAAAAATAAAATAGATAAATTGGTACAAAAAATTATACTTACTAGGATATTTGGATAGGACCTCGACCGAAGTATTTTTTACCAGGAGCACAAGGCCACTGTTGATTTGCAACACAGTAATCTGGAGGGGTACCTCGTTCTTGCTTGAAGCAATATCCCCATGAAAATGGACCATCCGGAGCTGTTGGCCACCCCCCTAATTATCAATATAATTCATACTAATTATATATAGATTAATTTAATTAGTAATAATTGGTTTCATACTTGGAAATAACGTTAATTTTCTCATGCTTTTATATACAATAATACATAGTTGTGGATGTCACGTTGTTAAAAAAGTTGTAAATAACATCTGTGTTCCTTGTTGATTAGTAAAAACGACTTCTAAAACTTTATACTAATGAGTTATTCTTTATCGATTTTGTAAAGAGCTAGTAAATTTGTCCCTCTCAATCCTAGTTTGTTCTTTTTTAGATATGTCAATTCAAGTTTTAAAAAATTGACATCTAACAAAATGGATGTTCAATCAGAAAAGGGATAATTATTTAAGATAATAGTACCGGTAGTTTCAAGAGAAGTTTGAGCCAAAAATGCAGCGATTTCCTTCTTACGAGTGTTGGTGTTTCCAGTAGTTCCAAAAGCACCAAAGGACCTTGCAGCTGTTATAAAAGCATCATAAGTGTAGAATCCTTTGCCATTACAGTTGGCATCGTTGCGATGCAATAGCATTCTCTCAAATATGTCTTTACTAATAAGACCACCAACATCTTGTGCCAATGCTCCTCTTACAGACAACACACAAAACAAAACCACTCCCCAAAACATAATTTTGTTCTTGTGAGTGATTATTTAGGAGTGATGGTAAGGTTGCTATTTATAGGGAACAGAGAGTGATGGGGTTTATAGATGAGTAGAAAGAAGAAATTTATGCGTCTGCTTATTCCAACACTTCCACTTAGCTATGAGTGCAGCATTTGCTTATTAAAATCAATTGGATGAAGCATTATGGACAAAGTTGGGAGGAATCCACTTAAGTTAGTCTTGGGTAGGATTTCTTGCTATTAGGCATATAACACATAAATAGGCCCTTTACTTGTCTTTTAACTTATATCTATACCCTCCAATTTTGGGTGTGTGTACAAGTAGATAATTAAACTTGTATAAAATTGAACAAGTAGACACACGCGTCCTACGTGGCATAATATATGTAAGGCGCCACGTAGGACACAAAATTGTCATGTAGAATGTCTATTTTCCTTTTTAGGTTGTTACAAAAAGAATTGACACAATTCATTTAGCTACAAGAATCACAACTTAAAGTGAGAATACAACTACGAAAACAATTCTTGCATTATTTGATTTGATATTAACATGTATATATAAGCTTTTTTTGTACCAATTAGTCTCATTGTGTATGAATCACTAGTAAAGAAGGTGTGCATATAAAAAATGATTCCAAATATCAGGAACTCCAGGAAGGCACCAATGTATACAATCTGCATAACTACTTGGATTTGCCAATTGTTCTTTGGTCAGAGGATCCCAGTGCTTTCTGTATATTGATGAATGACCTTCCTTTCTATATTCGGAAAGTTGAGTAATGTTGAGCAGCTCAACTTTGAAACCACTCTTCTCATTCAGTTTCTTGATGGCCACTTCCACCAATTTCATCATCTTTGGATCTGAATCTGATCCCCAATACTCTCTATTAGAAATCGGCTCTGTTTCATCGTAGCAATTCTGACCATTTGCCTTCCCCCAATCTTCTCCTCTGCCATTTTATGTTTCAAATATATAATTAGTACTCGTACGACTCAATAAACTAATTCAAAGTCAGAAACCAACTAGATGTATATACAATGTATAAAGCCAAAGTCAAAGAATAAAAGATGATTCATGACATGATCTCATATCATTCGAAGACTTGTTCCTACACGGAGCTTGACATCAGCTACAACTTATTTATACTTATTTTCATGGACTTGCCATCCCCATGCTTGGTTTGGGTTTACAAAAGGAATAAATAATGTAGGCATTCAAAGATGCAACTAACAAATTCTTTTTGAAAGGGTTGTTGAAGGCACTAAAGTTGGAAAGGTTCTTCATAAATGAACTCATTTTGTCAAAACAATGAGTCCATTATACTACTTTCAAAATAGCTTTAATTATACCGACCATTTACTTAAACAGACCATCTATCTCCTGATCACGCTTAATTAACACTACACTAATTTGAATAGTAAGAGAAAATTTGAGAAACATATTATATACCTGTTGTGAGTAGGTGATAAGCTAACAAAGAAAACTCGAGTCTTGGTGCGATTAACATGAGTATCCAACCAATCTGCCCATGTCTGTAGCCCCAACTCGTATGTACGCAGCATCCCCAAATATTCATACTTTGCATTTGCACTATCAAAAGATCCCCACCTGAAATTACACAATCTCTATCATAATTAACGAACATCTATCTTGTGCCTAAAATCTTGAAATGAAGAATCATAATTTTCTTATGAATGGACAAAGGTTGCAAAAAGTGTACTCACAGAACCTTCAAATTCAATCTCCACCATAGATATGAATTAAAAACAAGCACATCAGCATCTTTCCAAATTCTGGCATGCTTTTCTATTGAATCGATTCTCACTATGCGCTCTTCCACACGATGATATGATGGATCGTCGCAATTTGATTCAACTAATAATGGTGCCCAGTAGAAATCAATAGTAGCATTGTATTCCTTCATTAATGTAAAAATACAAAAAAAAAAAACTACTAATTAGAACTGCAGGCAAAGTTCAAGGTAGCGTATTGGAGAAGCAATTTTCGAAACTCACAATAGCTTTAAAGGTGACCAAAGAGCCATTATAGTTAACATATTTGAGATGACTAGGAATTTCTGATTCTAATATGCAGACCATTGAAACCCATTGATTCCTATTGAGTGAATCTCCCACATAAACAACCCTTTTGTTCCTCAACTTCTCCAACATCGCCGTAGCATTAAATCTTCGCAAAATCAAGAACTACAATCAAATACCCAGAACAGAAAGTAGGATAAAATTGAAGAAAAACTGAATAATACTCTACCTTGGAAGGTCACAATCATTGGGTTGCCATTTCCAGTAGAGATAGTTAAGATTCTTTCTCCCAAACTTCTGACAAGCCATTCCATCATCCATGAACGAACAATTTGTCCCGTTATAAAGAGGGCGAGATTGATTATCAAATACCCATTTACCAGAATAGAAATTACAGCTAGATAACGAGCTGATCTGGGTCTGCTTCTCGACTAACTTTGGAGCTTGACTAATCCCTCTGGACATCGACAAAGCCGTAAGGACTAAAACCGCAGTGATAATCGCAACCAGCAACTGAAAACTTAGCTGAACACCCATTCCCTTGTTCTTTAAACTAGAGCCGAAAGGTACTGGTCTTCCATTCATTTTTCTCTGCTTTTTCAGGCTTTTGCTTTGGATTTGCAGTTCGTTCCTCTTTAAAAATGGTGGGAATTAGTCATGATTGGCGGAGATGAAAATAGCGAGCTCGTCAAAGAAGCAGCCATTAAGCCTGATTATATTGACCCAAATTTGGGACTTATTTGGAACCAGGTGCTTTTTCTATCTGCAACAATAACAAATACCGTACTTTTTATTTATTTACTTCTGTTCCATAATCTTATAGAAATTCCGTATTAGTAAATTTAAGTTGTTCATGAATTCAAGTAATCAATCAATTAAGTTAGTAAGATTCTCCAAAACTATTTTATTTTTAGATCTTAATATGATAATTTTTTAATTAAATTACGATAAACTAGGAGTATTATTTTAATACTTAAATTTAAAAGTTCACATCAATCAACATGCTTTTGAACTTTACTGAAAGCGAAAGTAGCTCTCCAATTTACATATTTGTGTAAATTGTTAATGACGAGTGACGCGGCAATAATCAAGTTGTAGAAGAAGCAGGTAAGGGCAAAACTGTCTTTGTATATTAAAGTTATTTAGGATCAATTGTTAAAAGAAGTTATCTAGTTAATTAGAGTCCTAAATGTAGTCAAGCTACTAATTACCCTAGATACTATCTCATCAGACCTATAATTACCTAATGTGTAGTGATGTATTAAGTAGAACAATTAGCGTTCTTGTTCCTATTAATGAGGGTTTTTTCATCGATCTCAATTGATGATTACTTAAACGGAATGATTCTCCACTTGTAATTTTCTTCTATATTCCCTCTTTTTTCCTTTTAATGATTTTCGATTTGAAGTTTGAACAAATGCACATTTCAGATCTCTACGTTTGGCAAAGTCCTAAATACACTATTCACTAGTCACGTACGGCTGCTAATTAATTTAGAAAGGCTCTTTGAATTTATCAAAAGGTCTTACTTATGCATTTGAAATATTTAGAGAAAAATAATAGTTGTATGATTTTCTTAGGTAATTATCAAATTTTGGATGAATTGATAACCATTCATTTAAGTGTCTGATAATAATTAATAAATTTTCTTATAATTAATTGTTTAGGACTATATAACCTATCAAATATAATATCTTATAAACAAATTTTGACAAAGTTTCTTATAAGTCAATGTGAACTACAAGCTAACTAGATGAATCAAACGAGTCGTTTATACGGTAAAGGGCCAAATATACCCCTGTACTATATGAAATAGTTTAAATATATCACTAGATATACTTTCGGGCTAAATATACCTCTCCCGTTATACTTTCGAGCTAAATATACCATTATGACTAACAAATGACACATGTATGATTGAGATTAAATGAACAATTCAATTTAAAATAAATTAAATTTGGATATAACCCGCCCCGTCCCAATAACTTAACCCGACCTAATATGTAACATTAACCCACCCAATTTGTCTTTCAAACAAGAAAACTTAGTGGACAATTGAGTTATTGCTATCTAGCAACGTCTACAACTTGGAGCCTCTGCATCGCAAACACTCCTTCAATTGCCAATTTCTTTGTGGCTATATCTTCAGACTAAATTTGTGACTACTTTGAGATAGTGTGCTGCCACATATGGATGGAGCTACTGCTAGTACGCTGCCATTTTTTAGCCAAACTCTTGCTACATTTTTTGGAGTTAATATCTCAAAAAGTCACTCAATTTTAAGAATTTATCTATTAAAGTCATTAAACTTTGTTTTGTATCAATAAAATCACTAAACTTGGACCTTTCTATCAATAAAATCACTCAATCAAATTTATCATTCAAAAAAAAATATTGACATAGCAAAATAAATTATTATTTTTATGCCATATAAACATGGACCCACGAATAAATGAAATTAAAGAAAACTTATTTAAAAAAGTTCGGACAAACTTAATCATGGAAACAAATATTTTTTTATGATATTATTGTATAATTTATGTCGTGATTTAATAAATAAATGAATTATTTTTTCTTAGTGAAACATATTTTGGTATTACTGTAATACCATAATAATTAGTTTGCCTCCTAAACAAGAAATGAGTTTAAGTATTTAAGCAAAACAACAAATTAAATCCAAAATAGGAAGAAAAAAACTAAACAAATATAAAAAATAGAACAAGTATTTATTAATTAAAAAGTTCTCCGGCGTGTAATATATTTAGATGTTGCTTGCTAAATATAATTTGGTAAAGATCTTATTTTTCCTTTGTAATTCCACAGTTTGCTAACGTTGACATATATTTGTTCAAGCTTGAAAAAATTATTTTTTAAATTTTTTGATAAATAAGTTCTGAGATTTAAAATTGTGTTTGGACATACATTTCAATTGATTTTCTTGAGAAAAAAATTGTGAGAGGAAGTGAAAAGTCCTAAATGAGATTTATTTAATTTTATTTAATTGTGGAATTTATATTTACGTGATATAAAAATAATAATTTATTTTGCCATGCCAATACTTTTTTTAATGATAAAATTGATTGAGTGATTTTATTGATAGAAAGGTCTAAGTTTAGTGATTTTAATGATACAAAACAAAGTTCAGTGACTTTGCTAGATAAATTATCAAAGTTGAGTGATCTTTTGAGATATTAACTCTATTTTTTGCCATTTGTTAATATATTTTGAGGTGAAATGTTGATACTCCACTTGCCTCAAGGTTCCCTTGATACTCCTCATCTATTTCGAGTTTTTTGAGAACTCGTCTTGCCAAGAGAAGTTTGGTATGATATGCAGCATCATAAGTTTGGAGTGTTGTACTTGTTTTTTGTCCAGATTAGTTAGTTTGAAGTAAAGAAATTGGCAATTGAAGGAGTGTTTGCGATGCAGAGGCTCCAAGTTGCAGACGTTGCTAGAGAGCAAGAACTCAATTGTCCATTAAGTTTTCTTGTTTGAAAGACAAATTGGGTGGGTTAATGTTACATATTAGGTCGGGTTAAGTTATTGGGGTGGGGTGGGTTATATTCGAAGTTGATTTATTTTAAATTAAATAGTTCATTTAATCTCAGTCGTCCACGTGTCATATGTTAGTCATAAGGGTATATTTAGCCCAAAAGTATAATGGGAGGGGTATATTTAACCCGAAAGTATAACCAAGGATATATTTAAACTATTTCCTGTAGTAGAGGGGTATATTTGGCCCTTAGCCGTCATTTATATTGCCCAAACTTGAACAAATTGGACGGATCATGATTTTACTATGCTATTTTTGCCTCCCCTGCCCTTGTCATTAATCTTCACTGTTCAAATCTTTGACATGATAAGAAAATCCACTTCTTTAAAAGAACAAATGAATCCAATCACACTCTTACTATTTCTGTAAGAACTGAGTCTCATTCTGGATGGGTCACAAGTAAAGAAGGTATACATACAAGAAATGATTCCAAACATCAGGAACTCCAGGAAGACACCAATGTGTACAATCTGCATAACTACTAGGATTTTCCAATTGTTCTTTGGTTAGAGGATCCCAATGCTTTCTGTAAATGGATGGATGTGCTTCTTTTCTATATTCAGAAAGTTGGGTAATGTTGAGCAAATCAGCTTTGACACCACTCTTTTCATTCAGTTTCTTGATGGCTGCTTCCACCAATCTCATCATTCCCGGAGATGATTCCGATCCCCAGTACTCTGCATTAGAAATTGGCTCTGTTTCATTGTAGCAATTCTCACCCTCTGCCTTCCCCCACTCTTCTCCCCTGCCATTATATCAAACAACGGTTCTTTGCTTTACATACTTGATTTTTGATATGTTTTACTTGAGTCGAGGGTATCGAAAACAACATATTCTTTGTGTACACTCCACCATTCTCAGGCCCTACTTGTGGAATTACACTAAATATGTTATTAGTATTATTTGAGTGTGTTTGTAGAATATCTTGAGTACAATCAGATCTAGCAGAAGATAGATAATACTCCCTCCGTCCCTTTTTAGTTGTCCACTTTAGAAATGACACACAGATTAAGGCAACAATGATTAGCATAGTGAAGTTACAATTTTACCCTTATGACAACTTTTCACTTCAAAATTACAACCACTTATTTGAATTAAAGTGAAATAAATTGGAGGGAAACAACATACACTTTTACAATTTTCAAGAAGTGTAAATAAGGGTATAATAGGAAAAAATTTGTTGTCCTTTCTTGATTTGTCAAAATGGACAACTAAATAGGGACAACTAAAAAAGGAAATATGGACAAGTAAATAGGGACGGAGGGAGTAATAATAATGGTAGAAGTTGAGAAATCGTACAAGTCATACCAACTAGTAGAAGACTAGTGCCTACTAGAGTATATGAGAGAACCCCTAATGTTTAAAAAAATCTGAAGTACGGAGCATTGAAACATTATGGACCCAAGGGAAGCTGGCATATGTTATTGAGGTTTCATACAACCGACCCTACTAATTGTGTTTGAGGAGTAGTAGTAGCTGGTGTTGTTATAGCATGTTCAATGTAGGGACAAATGTGGAGAGTCAATTACGGTTCACATGACTCGATCAATAACTTTTATCTAGTTCTTGTATACATATTAAGAAATTACTACTAAATATCTATAAATATTTTATGCTGACCTAATTAATGTTATATTATTAACTTGAGATCATTATACCAACTCATAAACTTCAAATCTGATCCTCTACTTGTTAAACTGTGCAATTAGAAAAACTTGAAGTGGTGAATTATATACCTGCTGTGCGTGGGCGACATGCTAACAAATAATACTCTTGTTTTGGTGCGGTTGACATGAGTGTCCAACCAATCTGCCCATGTCTGTAGACCCAACTCGTATGTACGCACCATCCCTAATTGTTCATACTTTGCATCTGCACTTTCAAACGAACCCCACCTGAAATTGCACAAATCACTGGACATTTTATTCCCAAAATCTTGAAATTTAGTACAACTTCTTATGATTGATTTAATGTCTCAAGGTATATGTTTACTCACAGAACAGTCAAATCCAGTCGCCACCATAAATAGGAATTAAAAACAAGCACATCAGCATCTTCCCAAAATCTAGCATGTTTCTCTATTGAATCAA